GAACTACTCAAAATGTCCACTACTGGTTCTCCAGAATTGGTTGGAACATGCTGAATATCACCTCTGGTACCTCCTTTCCCATTTATCTGATTTTGAATACAACCAGCATTTTCATCCTTGAATAAACATACAAGTCTCTTGCATCCAGTCTAGACAAAGCCTTTAAATGTATGTTGAATTCTATTTACACTCGCTGATAACCCAGCGTTGCTTGGCTATTTATTCATCCTAATCGTGTATTAGACAGGAAAAGAATGAATTATATATATATTGTCGCACAAGACACACATCCCACTACCCCTGCCTCCAGTGCATGCGAGCATGACCTCCGCTGGGGCCCATTTTGGGCCTGGTAGGCTTCCCTACCAGGTGGCGCAGTGGTTAGGGTGCAGTACTGCAGGCCACTTCAGCTGACTGCTAGTTCTGCAGTTCAGCGGTTCAAATCTCACCGGCTCAGGGTTGACTCAGCCTTCCATCCTTCCGAGGTGGGTAAAATGAGGACCTGGATTGTTGTTGGGGGCGATATGCCGACTCTGTAAACTGCTTAGAGAGGGCTGAAAGCCCTATGAAGCGGTATATAAGTCGAACTGCTATTGCTATTGCTATTCCCTGCAGTCTCCTGGAAGGCAAAATGCCCCACACACCCCGGTGCCCTGTTTTTAGCCTAAGCCTCCCTTAAGCCAAAATGGGCTGTGGTTGGGCTCACGCAGCATCCCCATGGGCCTTGCCTGCCCCTCGTGGCCAAACTGAACAATGGCCATTGGGAGTCACACATGCGCAGCGGAGTTGAGATGGTGCTGCATGCCAGGACACACACACACACACACACCAAGGGATGTTAGGGGTAAGGCCACAAGTCTTAAAAGTTGCCAAGTTTATTTATTTATATATATAGCTTGCATCATTTCCCATTGGCATGTGGCATTGCATAAATGATAATCACCATGAATATTTAAGAATTTAATAGATCCAACCTCACTCAAACACATTCCATTAGCTTTAGTATACTTGCATTTGGTGTAATAGTGTACACTGAACTACACCGCGCCTGTTTACAAGGAATCAATACTAATTGGAAAGAACAGTCTTGTGTGTATCCTTCCTGATGGTTAACTTTGAGAAGCAAGAAGGGTATGTTTCAATGCTTATTCATTTCACAGTCGGGTTATTAAACGAGGCCCTCAGCAACAGGATCAAATAGGTAGACTTGATTAATTGCAGCCATTCTTGGTCCCTGTGTAGAGTGGTGCATTGGCCTAGAGATGGCGCTCTTGCCTCACAATCAGGAGGCTATGAATTCTATCCTAGGTAGAGGCAGATATTTCTCTCTGGGCACAATGAGAATGTATCTGCTGAACAAAACTCCGCATTGGCGACAGGAAGGGCATTTGGCCATTAAAACACTCTTGCTAGCTCCGCTCAGTTGCCCAGACTCCATCCTACGAGGGATTATTATGGGGTTGTTAAAAGATGATTCTTGGTCTCTGCGTAATCTGATTAAAGGTGCATTTACACCTCTTCTGACTGATGTTATTTATTCTCTCCAGGACAAAAGCTTTGAGCTGTGGGAACGGCCGCTCTCCGAAGGAGCTTTTGCCGTAGCTGTAATAAACCGGCAGGAGATGGGTGGACCAAAGGCATATCTCCTCCCCACCATGATCATTGGGAATGGCATAGCTTGTAATCCCAGTTGTTTGATCCAGCAAATTCTTCCTACCAGGAGAAACCTGGGGCTACACAACTGGGTTTCGTTTTTGAAACTGGAGGTGAACCCAACTGGAACGGTGCTGCTGAAGATAGTGGTGAACACAAACACACTTTTTATTGGCAATGGGAAAAGCTACCCTAAAGACCTCTTATAATGTGACAGCATCCTCCCTTCTCAAATGCTACGAAGAGCATCTAAGGCAGCGCCTACAGAACCTCCTGAAGCAATCAAAGGAAAATTGCTTGTAGAGTCTTTGCTTCAAGAGACGGATTGTCAAAAAAATGCTTTTATGGCCTTTCCGGGATTCTGAAGATTTTTAAGCCTCGAAAGGATGACATTATCTGTCTTTCTTTCTGGAGGCACAGCTGGAAAAAAAAAGTTAGCTCACTTGACCGTGTTTGTCAAGTGGTTTTATACAAACACAACTGTTGTGTTACAATAGTAGCCCGTTTCTTTCTGAGGTGGGCTTTGCCGGGATACAAAAAAGATGACCGTAATTGTATATACTTGCAGTTGCTTCTCAACAATCACTAGATGAAAATGGAGATACAAAAGAATGCAATAGCTGTACGGGTAAATTGTGAAATAACCAAAGAAATTCTTAAGAGAGGATTTAAATGCACTTTGCTACTCCTAAAATTCAACAGATTTTAGTTCTGATGTAGGCTCTGCACTTACATCGGAATGGCACTACTTAAGACTTTGACCTTGAGAATTCCAGCCTTAATGTCTGAACATGAATTTTGCAGTTCATTACAATGTTTCCCCCTCCCCACCAAGATTTCCCTCTCCATTGTTTCAATAAATCTTTTCTGCCTGCACTGATGCTAGCTTTGTCCAAGGCAGCCACTGATTGGAGGGCCCAGATTATGATCAAGTCAGCGAAACTGTCACGTTTATTCCAGTTACTGTTCCTTCTTGAAGGAGAACGAAGACCAAAGGAATCTAATCAACTGCTTTGAGCCAGTTTGCGGAAGGAGAATAAAATATCAAAGTTTTGTGAACGTTTCTTCAAACAGAAAATAGCTTCCATCGTGTTCTTTGAATAAATACGCACATTAAAAATTGTAATTAATGTCTTGGAGGGGAGGATTGTGGAACCGTTTTACTTCTTGAATGTTGAACATAATATATTTTGAGTAGATTTTTAATACGCTTTCGAATATAATGTGCCAAATAATAGTTAAAACAAGAAATGTGCAGAATTAGAATGTGTTGAATTGGAATTGTAGAAACTTACCAAAAGGCAGGAGACAATTGAAAAAGCTCAATTATTTTCCCAAACCAGAGGTAGTTTCTTCAGCTAATCGCATCCTTTATTTGGTTACCAATGTGCGCTTTGTGGCAAGAACAGACGAACTCTTAAGGGGGATCTCCCAACAATGAGCAGCAAAGGAAGTACAAGGAATCATTGTGTTCTGACAAAATTTTAATGGGTTCCATACCAAAGGATATCTAGAACTGGATGACCTGGCCCTGTGAAAAGAAAAATAAGACGCTGACTAAGCATCTGCTCTAGGCACAGATGAAAACACATTTCGTTTGATGAATTTTCAATTTTGAAAAGGATCCCCGTCTTAGAAAACTAAAAATATGCCTAGACTTCGATTAAAAATCTATGAAGTCAGAATCTTGGGACACGGAAGGCCCTAGATAACATTTTCTAACCTGGTTCTCCCTCATTTTTTCCAAATGAACAACAAAAGGTATAACTTCAAACGTTTATCCTGATAAAAGAAAACTAGTAGATTTACCACATTTCTATATATTCCTTGCTCAAATGCTTTCCGTTTATCCTTTGCATTCCACCCAATTCAGTGGCTAATCTGGTATTCCACATGAAAGCTACTATCTCCAGAACAGCTAAGCACATATTCATCCAAGTAGACCAGTTTTGTTTCGTAACATTAAAGCAGGGGTATCAAATGCTCCTTGTCACGATGGCGTAACATGACATATTGCGACTTTCCCCCCCATTGCTAAACCGGGTATGGCCAGCACATGAGGAATCTGGCCCGTGGGCCGTGAGTTTGATAGCCCTGCACTAAAAAAACGGATCAACCACTGCCCAGAATATTACTCAAACGACCTGCCAGCAGAGCTGGTGGCAGACTCAGATAATGAGGAGGTTGGGGAGGAACATGGGCCGGTCCTGGAATTTGGGGAAGGCTCTGATGAGGGCTCTGTGTCGGAGGCAGAGACGGGGCCAGGGCTGTCCGAAAGTTATCAGCTGCCTTTGGAGTGGGATATTAATGGGGCAGAAGAACAGCTGGAGTCTCTTCCCACTGTGCGCATGCGCAGAGCTGCCAGGAGAAGAAAACAGCTAAGGAACAAGGGCTGACTCAGGAGTAAAGGCACAGGTGGATGGTGAATGGCCCCTCCCACAGGGAAAAGAGAGGAGTGAAAGGGGAGTGGAGTTTGCAGGAGAC